AGTGTAAGGTGTCCCTGCCCATGGCAGGGGGTGAGACTGGATGAGCTTTAATGTCCCTTCTAAATCAAACCATTCGGTGATTCTATCATCCCCTCCCATCCACCTCTGCTTCAGCTGTCATTTCTGGACAGGATTCAGGTGGGGAGAAGAGATGGAAAGAGGAAAGCCCACCTGCAACCCCCCCTTGGAACCCACCACACGTTTCAGCAGCTTCTTGTCCAGGCCGGGGATATGCTCGTTCTTCATCTCAATGACGAAGTGCAGGCTCTCCAGCTCCTGCTCCCAGAAGGGGCTGGGGCTCCCATGCTCCTGTGGGGTGCAGTGGGGTGGGTGCTCGGGGCATCTGCCACAGGTCACCCACCCCCGCATGACCCCAGCAAAGCAGTGCTCCCAGCTGGGGCCCTTCGTGGCCCAGGGTGGGTGTGTACATACAAGGCACCAGGTTTTGCCCACCGCTTGTGTTCAAGGGATGCCAACAGCCTGTGCATCTCCCAGGGACCGGGCTTTGCTCTGCCTTTCAGCTGTCCTGTGCTCCCCCACTCCCATTCCAGCCCCTCCACCCGCTCTCGAGGTCCATCAGAGAACAGCCCTGGATTTGGGCCAGCACCCCGGAGCAGGACCCTTCTGCGGAGGCCACTGGTCCTGTGTCCCCTGTACCTGTATGTGCTTCTTGTAGTCTGTGCTCAAGAGCGACTCCTCCACCCGCTTCATCCTCTCCTGGAAGGATTTCAGCTGGGAATTCAGTGTCTGGATTGTCTCCTAGGGTAGCCGGGAAAGAAGCAGGATGGGAGATGGCTGGGATTTCTTCCTGAGCAGGGGTGCTGCTGGGCTATGGCACCCCGATAACACCAGGGCTGGAGGAGCCTGCGTGGTCCCCAGGCACACCAGGGACCAAGGCGGCCGCTGCAGAGCTCAGGGCACCACGGCAGAGACAGCAGACGGGCCTCGAGTCCTTCAGGAGCACCCCCTCCCCAGGTATTTCTCCCCGGGTACCTGCAAGGCCGCCTGGGTCCTGTGGTGGGACTCTGCCAGCAGCAGCTTCTCTTGCTCATGGGCTCTCTGGAGCTCTGCAGAGGGGACAAGAACTGAGCATCACTGGGTCCAGAGGGGATCCCGTGGCAGTGAGCCCCACTTGAGCCCCACAGCGCTGTGGAGCAGGGGGCAGCATCCCCATGACCTGGATGAAGCCCAAGGGGCACTGGCGGTTGGAGGAGGGGGAGAGTGGGCAGGGGGGCTGTAGGGAGCCCAGCTGTCCTGGCACACACCTTGTAGGGTCACCGTGTGCTCCCTCCTCAGGGCATCGAACTGCTCCGTCAGCTCCAGGTCTTTTCCCTTTTCCACCTGGGAAGCAGGGAGATGACAAACCCTACGTGTCTGACCCAGCAAAAGGGATGCTCTGGCCCTACCCATCACCATAACTCATTGCCAAACCCACACCACTACGGGTTTCCTAACCCCTTCCTACCACCTTCCTTCTCCCAAAAAAGGGAGATCCCAGCCCAGCGTATGCCAGGTCATGATCGCTGCTTGGGAAGTCCGGGCTGGCCACACGCTCCCTGACTGGCCGCTGCCCCCAGCAGCACCTGCCTTTTTGACCAACCTGGATGTTAACATCCTGGGCGATGCTCGTGGTCCCTGCCCGGTTGGCATCCCGCAGCCGCTCCTCCTCCTGGCCCTGGAGGAGTCTCCTGCTCTCCGTCTGCTCCTCTCCAAACGCTGCCTTCTCCTTCCCGTCCGCAGGCAACAGTTCAGCATCAGCTGCAATGCAGACGTGGTTCAAACGGTGTTGGCTGCATCCTGCTGACTGGCTGCGTGGACATCTCAGGCAGCCCACCTGCCAGTGCGGTAGCCTGCTTCAGCCCCTGTCCCCTTCCCCCGGGACAAATACCTCCCCCCATCTCTCTGGTGCAAATTAGCACTAATCGGGATGGCACAGGCAGCCCAGAGAGGACACAGCTCATTAGGCCTCCTGCTCCAGGAACAACCTGTCTGCCTGAGAGGCTGGGATGCCGTGTCCCTGGGATGCCATCATGCCCAGTGCCAGGGGAGGCTGCAGCCACCTCTCCTGGCCCCCCCAGCGCAGGCTGGCTGCCCTGTCCTGCTGCCTTCCTTGGTATCACACGGAGAAACCACAGCAGGGGGTGGGGGGTGACACACATTTTCTTCTCACCGTTCTCTGTCTTCAAGGCCGTGAGCTCCTGGGAAGCCGGTCCCTTCTGCTGCTGGGCCTTTAGCTGTCTCTGGCAGAGAGAGAGGGGGCTGGAGCAGGGGAGGACAGAGGGGGGCAGGTGGCTCCAGGCAGAGGACACCCTGCAGCCAGGCACCCTGCTGAGCGTGCTTCAGCCCTGCTAAAACACGGGCGCTTGAGCAGCAGCGGTTCCAGCCCCCTGCACCAAGCACCCATGGGTGCGCACCCACCACCTAGCAGGCAGCTCCGAGCTCGTCCTTATTCCCTGTGTCCCGGATACTTTGCCACACGGCATTGCCAGCCACCGGCTGGATAACCCATTGGATGCTCACAACCCCCCCAACCCTGTGCTGGTGCCAAATAGGGTCTGGCAGGAAAACAGACCCTCTCCCCCTTAGCTGAGGAGAGCCGGCAGCACTCGGCAGGGCCCCGGCTACGGTCTCCCTCCTCCGGCCCATCCCTGCTGCCCCAAGATGCTCGGGGTCACCCTGGCACCTTGCAGCCCCCCGAACACACCCCTCTGCCCATGCCTCACACGTCCGGGCCCTGAGCCAGCCCGTGCTGGAGCAGGAGTGAGGAATGATCAATAGCCGTAAGGCAGAGGCGATCCCAACCCCGTGCAGGGCTGGCAGCAGGAGGGGGTGGCAGCCCAAGCGATGACCCCGGGGATGCAGGAATAGGCCGCTCAGCCCCGCACGCTCCCATCGCTGTCACAGGGCTGATATATCCCAGAGCCGGGAGCTGCCTTCAGCAACACAGCTCCGCGGGATGCCTTCCAGCCCTGCGTGGGTTTAATTTAGTCACTTGGGGGAGAGAGGAAAGAACGAGATGTATATATTTTTATCTGTTGCAGGAAGATAGCAGCAAAGCTCGGCTGCTCTCACAGCTCTGCCTCCCCGGCGTGGGGTAGTTCTTGCCCTTCACGCCCATCACCAGGTCGTGCTTCTGGGCAGGGGGTATGGAGGCACGGTGTGTGAGGCAAAGCAAACTGGAGTCCCTGCCTGCGCCTCCCCTGCAGCCCCCCTTCTGAAGCTGGAGGGAAGCACAGTTGCCAGAGGGAGCAGAACTCCGAGCCTCTGGGAAGCCACAGCTTTATCTTCCCTTCTATGGCGCGAGCGGCCGTGGCGTTGAACACGGCCCAGGCAGCGGGCGAGGAGGCACCAGGCGGATGGGATTCCCGGGATTTATTCCCCTTGCCGACACAGCTCACCCTGCAAATGTGGGGTGCTGCCGAGCCCCGCAGCCCTCCCTGCAAAGGGTTCCCAGCCTCCCCATCGCACGCTGATGTGCATCTGCCTGCTCTTTAATGCCCTGTGTCCCGGGCTGAGTTTTGGGGTCTGTTGAGGGGTGGGTGGATGAGACAGCCGGGGCTCTGAAAGCCTGGGGGCATTGTGTGAACCTCAGAAGCCCCCCCAAGGTTTTACTGTGACAAAGCAAAGGCTGCATGGGGCAGGGGATAGTCCTGGCGTGGCAGGGCCACACAGCCCCTGAGGGTTTTGGATGATCTGAGCCTGGCTGGGAGCGGGGTGCTGGTACCTGAGTGACCCCCAAACCTCACCTGCCCAAACCAAACCGCCTCCACTGCATGCATCCCGCTTGCTAGCAAAGGAGATGCTCAGGGCTGGTCCTGGGGTGGTGGGGCACCCCTGATAGCCCCCATAGCTTGGGCAATGTCCCCAGCATAGATCCAGGGCACTTTCACCTCTTCCCCATGCCTCCAGCCCAGTGAGATGGGGCCTCAGAGCCCCTGGGCTATTCAAGGAGGATGACTGGAGACAACGGCACCGAACCCAGGAATGGCTGGAGGGAGGAAGAGGTATCAGCATCAGCAGACAAACCTGAATACCTGCCCTGAGGCTAGGAGCGGAGGCACCTTTCCTACCTCTGTGCGCAATTAAAGTAGCGTCTGCAGCTAATTCTACTCCAGAGCGCTCTGTTGTCCTTTGGGATGAGAGCTCCACTGCCAAAGCCAGGGTGAAAGCAAAATGTGGCTTAAACCTGAAATACAGAGCCACCTTCCGCTGCCGCATCCCGAGCAGCACGTGGCACCTGGGTCTGTTACCGCCCGTGGCATTTCGGGGAGCTGGAGGAGGCTCCCCGTATCCGTTGTGTGCGAAAGGAGCAGGTTGGGAGCTGCTCCAGCTGGAATAGCTTTGGCCCGGGGAAGAAGCAGCCTGAAACATCCTGCAGGTGCCGGTGCTCGGCAGCGCTGCTCATCCCGGAAGGTCTCAGCATGGAAACCTTGGCCTTGGCTTTGAAGAGGCTCATGCCAAAAATACCTTCTAGTTTAAAAAAAAAAAAATCCACGTTCTTAGGATTACATATTTTCAATGGTCTGGAGCAAAACTGTTTATGGGTGGATTAATCTGGCTTTCCAGCAGAACCTGAGGTACCTCGAAAGGTACCCAACGCAGAGGCTGATGGCACGGTACGGGCAGCCGGGGTGGCTGCAGCCTCTGCTTCAGCTTTAGCGTGAGCTGGGGTTTTGGACGGTATTTTTCTTCCTCTCTTCCTGTTTTACAACTACGTTAAGCAATTAAACCATGCAACTTTACAGTCAGCCAACGAAATCACAAAGAGACAGGAAACGAGCATTCAAATCCCGACTTTGCTGCTGGGGAGGAGGTTTTGCTTTGTGGCTGTGGAGAAGGGGGCCAGGATTTGGTCCATGACCCTAAAACCGCCCCAGGGCCTGCAGGAGATGCTGGGTGCTGCCAGAGCAATGCTGGCAAAGCTCCGTGGGACCTGCCTTCAGCTCTGCTGCTGTTTCTCCTCTGGCGACGGTTGGTACAAGATGGCTATCACCTCTCCTGCAGCCAGATCCGTGTCGCAGACCGTGCGCAAACCCTTCACGCTGTTGACAGCCTCGAGTTTTGCGTCCTGACCTTTCCCTGGCTCCTGCTGCTACATATAGTTCCTGTATCTCCAAAATAAATGCACCCCAGCCCTGGAAGGCAGCCAAGCCTCAGCCCTGATCTTTTGGGAAGGTGTCCTGGCCTCTCTCACACCAGGAGCACGTCCGAAGGGTGAGCGGCGACTACGAGTGGCCAGGCGTGGGTGGATGGAGCCGGAAGGGAAGGGACCCCCGTGGACGGTGCCTGCAGCTCGGCCCCAATTTCTGGCCGTGGCATCTGTGCCTGTGCCTCCTTATCGCAGAGCAGTGACGGAAGGACAAGGCTGCCAAGCCGCCTCCCCCGGGGCACGCAGAAGCGCCTGGTATGCCGTCTGCCCACCGGACCCAGCCAGCACGGGCTCCCCAAGGTCACCTCCGACCTGGGACTGGCCCCAAAAGCCTCTGCAGCCCCCAGCCCCATGACAAGCCCCAAGCCCTGTGGGGTGCATCCCGGATCTGCCCTGGCTCACCCCTGGGGTTTGAGGGTTTCCCCATCCCCAAGAAACCCCAAGGGACCAGCTTGGCAAGTCCACCCATCAGCAGCGGGAGGGTGAAGGTCTCCCACGCCAGCCTGCGGTACCCTGGACACGTGGGCAGGAGTGGCTCCATGCCCGCCCTTACCCCTCTTTGCCAAAAAAGGGATTTTCGGTGCTGCTTTCGAGATTAACTTGCAACTCAGTCACAGCAGCCGGGCTGTTTTATGGGGCACAAACCGTGGGGAGCAGCACCGCGAGGCTGAGCAGAAGAGCTCGAGAGCGGACGAGGACAGGAAGGGAGGTGTCTGTGGGCAAGTCACTCTGGCTTAAATTTTCATATTTCGGTAAACGTGTGGCTCAACACCTGGGGCCTCGGGGCTGCTGTAGCTCCTGGTCCCATGCCCATTCTTGTCACAATTGTCACAGACCAGCCCAGAAGTGTCTGTCCTATGACACAGAGTGGTGTTTTCTTTTTTTTTCCATGAGATGGAGAAGCAGCCAAGCCTGTGAGTGCTGTAAATAAAGGCACTTGCTGGCTCCGGGAGCTGTGTGAGCTTTGTGCTGCTCCCCCCACACGTCCCAGCAGTGGGCTGTGCTTCAGCCGCACGGTCCCGAGCTCTCACAGCTGCCTCTGCGCAGGGCTGGCCATGTAGGGGGGCACGCCGGCACCGTGGGGCCTTGCCGGATTTCCTCCTGCCCCTGCCACCCTCCAGCAACCACAGCCCACCGACACCAGCACACAG